AATGGAATTTTAAGGTACGTTTTTGAGGCTTCGGTTTACAATTCCGGTTTCAAACAACGTGTTGACACAAGTAGGCAGATCTTTGTTTGAAGGAGAGTTTATGATTTTATTTATTTATTTTTTATATATATTTGTGTCACGGATGGTCTTAATGTTTAATCATAGGTAGATAAGTTAAATTTTGTAAGTTAAGTTAGTTTTAATTTAAAATATTATATCTGAAGATAAGGTTAACATAATATCGAACTTATCAAACATTAAGTACCATAAGTAAGAATAAAACATGCTATATTCATCTAAGATAATTGAAAGATAGATATCGATGTATAGGTCGTATGGAACCACAGGAAATGTTTAAATCTAACATCACGATTCATTAATGAACTATTCTGAAGCATTTCTTAACCTCAGTAAAACGAGTTTTTCTCTATATACACTGAACTGATCCTAGTTTTCCTGTTTTGAGTGTTTATTGTTACTGTGCTGGGCTGTAAAAAGGTTGTCGTTCGCCCCACTGTTGTAGGGGCAAGCAGATGGGAGACCTACCTATTTTGTATGAACAGCCAAGAGGTCAAGCAGAGTACGTCGTTCCTCTTAATCATCCACAAACAATTGTATTTGCTATTTTATGTCTGTTTTTTATTTATTTTTAATGGCACAAGCTAGATACCCTCCCGTTCATTGAACCTGCTAAACAAACGAAACTACTTTCCAGAACCATTTAAACATTAGATGTCAACTAAGAACTATATAAAATTAAAGCGTAAACTGTATCCTAAATGATGATTTCAATACATTGAAGAACGTTGTTCTTGTTCAGGAGAAATGTATATCAAAGTTCCACTTTTTGTACTAAATCACAACGTTACAGTCCTAACTTTTCAATAAAAACTGGTTAACAGCCATTTTCTCATACCTTGAGTGATGGGTGGTGTTGAATATCTGCCTTTCCTTTAGTCTATCATTAGAAAATTAGAGACGGCTGGCGCAGATAGATCTCGATAGTGATGGGTGGTGTTGAATATCTGCCTTTCCTTTAGTCTATCATTAGAAAATTAGAGACGGCTGGCGCAGATAGATCTCGATAGCTTTGCGTGAAATTCACTAAACAAACAAACAATAGTCTCATGAAAAATCTTGTAATCTTTGTTTTTGATCACAAAACTATAGATTTTGGTAGAAATCGATCCACAAAATGACGTTTTTTAGCCCAGCGTCAAGCAGTAACGTCATTAGATATTGGTATAAATAAATCTACATACTGATAATTTTTTTTCTCTAAGACAGCAGCAAGCAAAAGAAACTAGAATTTCAAATCGATTTATTAAAATAGATATTAAAACTTGCAATTAAACATAAAATTCCTGTTGACTTCAAATTCACTCAAAAACCCGGCCCTAAAGTAAAATTATTACTAACTAAAAAATATGTAGAATCACACAATATCAATGTCATTTATAAAATAACGTGCAATAGCTGTCCAGAACTGTACACCGGAGAAACCGAAAGAAAATTGTAAACCAGATTCACTGAACATAAAAAAAAACTTTCCTACGTTTATCTCCATTGCAACTATAAAAACCAGAAAATATCTACACAAAACGCTGTGATTTTAAAACAAAGAGCCAAACATCAATAAACGCAGAATATAGGAAGCTGTCTTAATTCAACAAATAGTCCCACCCTAAACCAACACCCCCGAGATACGAAGACACCTATACTAGGCTGTGAACCAATCTCCGGTCATGTGACCTCTTTGTTCCATACTATATATATACATATATATTCATTGTGTCTGTAAATTACTTGTACCTGAGGATGACATAATCATGTCGAAACGTCGTACATTTACAATAAAGTTTTCTTCATTACTCAGTCAAGCCGTCTAAGAAATTTTATTTTCTATAAAGTGGGTTCCTCGTCATCCAACTTAAGTAGTATGCAGCGTTTCCTTTTATAACATTATCTATGTAATGACTGGGTCACAAGTTCTGACAATGTCTGTAAATATCATAGCAAAAAGTTTGAATTTCTTGTTCTTCTTTCTTCTGCATCTTTTTTGTTACATGATAGCTCAAAAACCAAAACAGTGGCGTAAACCAATTTCACTGAGGTAACATAGTTTCAAAGGGAATATCCGCTTTTATAAGTATTATTAACTGGTAGTATTTAAAACGAAATCATAATTCTAGTGTAAACGATGTTATCATTACCCTTTGAAGTTAGCTTTTTCACATACATTTGGTGTTCCTTTAAAAACTTAATTACAGGGTGAAACTGGAATTACCAGCCGATAATAGATAAATAATAAATATTACAGTTGGAACCTGATTGTATTTAGAACTTGGTTATAAATACAACCATCATATGTCTATTTAAACATTGCATTAAAAAAAAAGCAAAGAAAAAAAAACTTTTCAAAAAAAAGGAAGTAAATGTTGGGATGGCTAATATCAATTCTTCAAAACAATACAAACAAGATAGTAGGGATGGTATTTGCATCATCCCTGCATAATAGCACAGACAATAATTAACATATAGCAATATATATATATAACCATTCAATCATAATTTAGTTTAATTTATCCTACTTTTGTCTGTTAACATTCTACTAAACTGTTAACTAGAGCTACATTGGGATACTTCATGTGTACGTCATCGAACGTGAACCCAGTAACTCCAGATTCTTCAGCCATCTTTCTAACGAGGTTTGACTGAAAACTTTGGAATTTTGCCTTGTGAATCCTTCTTAACTTGGTATATTTTTTATTGTCTTGTTTACATTACCAGGAGATACGCTGAGCTTCATCGTAATGACATTTTAGGTTAGGAGGATTTTTTAACGTAACCATAATTTATCTTTGTAGATTAAGTTTGTCACAGAGTGGCTTGATGTGATGTTTCAGAGAACATTGTTATGCGATTTTTTTCTGATTCCACGAGAAAAATTAGTGACTCCTTCTTTGAAATGCTCTGTTCTTTGACTCTACATTATTTAGTAACCTTGCTATATGAATATCATTTTCCGAAAAGATCTGTGACTATTACCCAAGCCATATCAGCAGCATTGCATTATGAAGTGGTTGGAAATTTGCCATGAAACAAATATATGGATGTTAAACATGTCGCTCATGACACGCCGGCTTCAATCTGCTGCTACTGTATTTACAAATACAAATCGTTAGAATCAATCAGCTGTTCATTTCTCAGTTGGAACTTTGCATTTAAAATAGGACGTATGTATTATTTTACCAATTTTAAATACGCGATAATTTGATTATAATATAAAATAAACTTCAAGTAATATTTTCTTGTGGTTCACTCAGTTTGATTATGATATCCTAATTTTTTTTAAATAGTTATCTTACTTTTTGATGTTTACCGGTTTAAAGAGGCAAGGGCAAGGTTTAGCAAAGTATTCTTCATTTGAGGTATTATGAGACCGTCGTCAAACGTTCTCTTATAATCCGTGCGATCTTTTGGGGTCTTTAATCGTTACATAAGTACGCTTCAGATGGTGGGGAATAGGGGGAGATGAAACATATCTTAATTGTTCATCGCTTTCCGTAGGCTTACGTCTGCTCCTTTAAAAGCAAAGTGTTAAAGAAGAAACAGTGGAAAGTTATCATGCAGCACTTAATACTTTAGCAAAACATCTATCTTGAAGAAAACTACATATTGTTGAAGGTTTAAAACTACATATTAGTTTACAGGGTGAATTTTGGAATTAATTGACATTTGTGTTGAAAGTGACTCTAATGGATGTGCTAAATAATAAGAAGAAAGAGTACAAAAGCATGACCATCAATAATCTGTAATATCATTTATTAGTCACATTAATCTGAGGTTTGGCATAATAATTTTGGAAGTCTGGTCAGAGTGTGGTTAGAGAAACTAATTTTAGTCTTGCCACTAACAAATAAAATATCAATGGCATAAATTTGTAATTAATAACAAGTATTAATACTGTTGAAATATTAGACTGCTAATTTTGTTATTATGTAAACTTCCTTTGTTTTAAACACCGATCTTTTATTACCAC